GTTATTTATAACTAAAGAACACACACACACACACACACACACACACACACACACACACACACACACAACACACACACACACACACACACACACACACACACATATATATATCATGAATGCACCCAATATAAAATAACTTTACACATACACAAATAATCCATTTTTTGATAATACGCAAGGAAACCAATTCTGTTACACAAAGGAAACTTACCACATTAGTATTCCAAGCAGTTATGAAAAAAAGCATTTCCATGTGGAGTTTTTAGCAAAATAAGCATCAGTTCATTCCAAAATGTCTTAAAAGTTTTCAAAGTAAACTTCTAGTTTAAAATTAAGATTTTAAAGAGTGAACAAGTTACAATTTACTTATGTTGTGAAGCCAAAAAATATAACGTGTTTCAAATACTAAACGGTTATTAACAACAAAACTTATTACAGTTCTCTCTCCCACCAAACATGCTCGCCATTTTAACCGTGGGGGCGTTATAATGTGACAGTCTATCCAACTATTCGTTGGTAAAAGAGTAGCCCAAAAGTTAGTGGTGGGTTGTGATGACTAGCTCTTGCCTTATACTGCTAAATTAAGGAGACGGCTAGTGCAGATATCCCTTTGAGTAGCTTTGCACGAAATTCAAAACAAACAGTTCGCTTATTTAAATTAAGTTGACAAAATGTTTGATTGGCTTTATGAAGTTGTATTAAATATATAGAAAAAATAACTGACTTTCAGGTATATCAAAGATTTCCATGTGGTAATTTTTGCCAGAGGATAAATTGTGATGAGAGGAAACATTTTGATATTAGTGATGGGTAAGTGCTAATAACTATTAGTAAGTATTGGCTGTGTGTCAGATTCCTTTGGATGATTAAAACTAAAATCCTGATGTTATCGCTTCAAATGTATATAATTGTATAAATATCTGTTCCACTTTAATAATCACAAGCATTTTGTTAAGTGATGTTATTGTGATTCTAGATTTTAAGTGATTTATGCATGTTGCAATATCCTGTTATCCTTTTAATAAGTCGAAGTTCAAGGATGTGATGAAGTAAGTGGATTTTTCATATGAGAAGGTTAACCCAAATATGCCAGTTCACATATAAATAAGTCCATATTTAAACAAATAGTGATATAAAATAGGCACAAGAAAGCAAAAACTGATTTGCAATTGTTTGGATGTTACACGAAGATAAGGTACTTATAAATTGTATTGGAAGTTATAAACTTTTATTAACATATAGAAGAAATTGTGCTACCATCTGATTGATAGAAAACTACAATTAACTCAAGCAGGTATGGAAACTACAGTATTATTTAATTCTTTTACTGCAAATTAATGATTTCATAGCAATAAATGCATTAGAACAATGAGAAATGTACAGGTGTGTAACTTATGGAAACGGTTAAGAATCGGAATATCTCAAGAAAAGGAGTTCAGGGTGAAATAGTTCTTTTATGCAGCATCAGTGGTATATATCTCAGATATTCTAACGTATTAATTTCCAATTCATTCTTTGTAAGTGCTGAAAAACCACTGCTAGTTGGATTACCAGCCCTGTTAAGTATTCTGATGTTTAGCCAGTTGACATGATAAGAGCTTTTTTTTTCTACACTGTAACTTTGTATGTGTTGTTCTGCAGTTATGGATGGTCAGTTATCCGGCTGCATGGCCATCAGTACAGTAAGCAGAGTGGAAGTAATGCTTTGGTTTCACTATTTGTGCGAAGTTTAAAAGTGAAAACATGGATACCAATATATCGGAGTTTTCTATCTGAGGATTGTGCAGACTTTGACTTGTTGGTGGAATATGTCTGTATTTATGAGACCAGATGGCTGATAGGGTCGAACAACAGTCACACAACACCAATAGATACAAGTGATATATGCCCAATTAAATAACCACTGCATAATGTTTAAAGTCTTTGTTAGTTTATTTGCACATGTAGAGCTATCAGAGGCTGTTATATGACAAAAGAAGTGTTGCAGTAAGACAAGGAAAGAACGAATGTTTCAAAGTGAGGACTGAATGTGGCTTTGGTATGTGGAAACATACATCTGTATGTAACTAATGATCCTCTATTGAACTGGCTGAATCAAGAACCAAAACATAAGGTTGTTGAATCAGATTAAGATGAAATTATTTTATTTCAGTCCAGCCTCGAAGATGAGATTTAGCTGGAAGTATTTATCTGACTGTTCAGGATGAGGAAGTGCAAGATTTTGAGGCGAGACTTGGCTCCAACAGTATAAGCTACTTGTAGCACATCTTACAAACCTATATAAAATATCATCATGTAGATGTGGAAAATAAATAAACAGATAACTGCTGAAACCTAATTAGATGTTATTGTTTTTTATATAGAACTGATGGAAACGTTGCAATGTATTACTTGTTTCATCATGTACGTACCCATTGAAAAACGTATTATTCATTTACAAAGATGTGATTCAATTATAAAACAAAGCATTCTAATTACCTTCAGGAACCACATTCACGTCAGTGCTAGTAAAACATTAAAATATTAGGTAAAGATAAAAATCTCGGTGTTTCGAAAGAGTTGTTATTGTAGCTAATATAGGCTGCAGATATTGCCGACTGTTTTCTCTTTTTCCTGGTCAACTGCTCTAAAGTAAATATAACTATCTATGACCCTACAATCCCCTGACCTTTTCATTTGGCCTTTGTATCCTATTGCATTACGTTCTGGTTGATTATACATAACACCACCTGTTTAGGCGATTTGTTTTCTTTACACAACATAATTCATGTATCAAGATTCATTTGTGAAATTGTGATCATACGTTTTCTTTAGTCTAGTGTCAAGTGGTAGTAACTTTCTTACTAATGCTTTTCTTAGGAAATAACGTCGAAAAACGTTGAAGTAAGATGTGTACTAGGGGTCGCTTATCACCAAAGAAGATGACCTCCTAGAATTAAAAATCTTGAACAATTACTTTTCTCGGATATTGTAAACAAGAATGCAAGAAGAACAAATCGTGTCTTATATGCTGTTTTTTATATTATTTTATACTTAAAGTAATACACTCGGTAATGGATATGAATTTATTTTAACGAAAACACTTAACATGGCCTAGTTTGAAAAGTATGGATGTCAAGTTACAAAATATATATTAATGAAAGACTTTATTGAAATCTTATTGATTATTGTATTTTTGCTTTTAATGTAACTATTAGGTAGCACTATGATGAAAAGTTATTAATTTAATGAAAACTTCATTATGACATATTGTATTTTGCAAATGTTAGACATTGTCGTGCTTTATTTACGTCATATAAGCGTTCCTGTTAATATGACATAACTAATATGAATGCATAATATGTTGCTAGATGGCGGCACATATAAACTTTCGGAATATACTTACCCAAAGTTTATAAAATCAATATTTCCTATATCTAGATTACTCCCCAAATTTGAAACTCTTCACAATAAAACATGTAATATGTTTCCTGTATGAAACGCTACATTGTTTTTTTTATCAGATTCTTTGTCAGCCTTCATATAATTTCTTCTCAGTTAACTTATTTCGTATATTAAATACACAGCTCGTGTTTGTACTAAAATCACAGTAGTACTGTCTCAACTGACGTTTTCTTTTTTACTAAAATACAGATATTTAGGTGATCCGCTGTAGTTCTTTATTTTCAAAGTCAGTCATAATTTAATTAATAATTATGTAAAAACAAATACAAAAAACTCCTGCTATAAATGTCACAAATCTGACAGCAAAAGGTATTTCTAGACGAGCCTATTCAATCTGAATTCTACATACAATATTATATTCCTTCAGACAGAGGAGATATCACAGACTAGAACAAGATAATTAGCAACTCTTTTTTTCATTCGTTTTCCAAAGACAATGTTTCAATTTCTACATTAAAATATTCAGCAGGTCGCGAATTTTCCGGAACGTTAATAGCAATGGAGAAACACACCACAGCGGATTCAATAAAATCAACTATTCTGTGGAAGTATCAACAAATACACACAATGTGTTTATGTTTTATTGTGAAAGATAAGGTTGCTCATTTTGTATTTCACTTCGTGTCCAGTCTCACCATTTCTTTAACATCACGACTCAGTTTGTAAGAGATTTAGTATTACTTCATAATCGATATCTTGATAAAATCTTCAGCTATTAAGAGTATCTGTGTGATGGCTCGAAGGTTGATTCAGTTATATTTGATTATATGATATATATATATATATATATATATATACAATCTGTTTTAAATTCCTATTTAACGCAACAGCCCACCTGAATAAGCACTTCTTCAGTTTTCTTCAAAAATTAAAGTGTTTAATTTGCAAACTTCAACATCTTGTTTTGCCTCTTTCAACCCACTTGCAATAAATCACTGCAATTTTCCGTCCACGTACGAAATATCTAGTTTTTGTAGATATCAGGTAACAGTGTGCAGGTATATCCTTTAATTACCACAGCATGGCAAACCTTAATAGTAGAAAAGCAGTGAAGCAAAGTTCTTAAGTATTACTACCACAGTTGAAATAACTGTTAATTTCACACTTACTTAACTAGTTTAAATATATATCTGTAGTGAGATATATTTTGAAAAAATTTATAAATTTCCATGCAGATGTTGTACTTGTGATTATGACGACCTTGTTAACTGGATGTCGAAAGGTCTTAACTAAATACTAGTCCTTTTTCCTAGACAAAGGTTGCATACGGCAGTAGCTATATTACAGATACTCTGACCATTTTGAGCATTTCTATATGTCTAGTCCATCAAGAGGTAACACATAGTCGAAGCTGATATGAGTTAGAGGCTCTCCAGCTTGAATATTTCGTTTGGAGCGGTTATCAATGAAGATAATTTAGTGTTTATGATATAATGAATTTGGATCTGTGTTTCACAAAAAGTGCAATATATATAACATCATTGCTTCTGTTCTGTCCTGTGCAGACATATTTAGAAAGTCTCCTCTTCATCCCACCAGCCGGTAAAGTCATGGGCACAAGCCTATTGAAGTGGTTAAATAATTAAGAACTTAATCAATGACCCACATTCTCCAGTTCTTGACACTTTCTTATATAACGGACAGTAAACCCCCGAAACGCTTAAAACTGCAAGGGATAATTTCAAAACATATCCTACTGTACCTCAAATGAACAATACTGTTACGTATCTGCTTGTTTGATAATTTCCGGTAAAAATTCTTTCCGAGAAACTTCAGCGATACAAGTCCCTTCTTGATTAAAACTAGTTTATTCTTTCTCAATACAACTTTTTGTAATACACAGAATTTCCACAGTCACTTGAAACTTAATAACCTTTATAACACACGCTATAATTCACAGTGATTCAAACACTTTACTTACGGTGCCTACTGTTCGCTTGGCTCAATTATCTATCTCTTCCATCTATCTGCCCTTTGCTGGCTTTATTTGCCGGGCTTATATATTAAAAAAGAGGGCGCCTGGAACAAACTAGAGTTGCCAGGAAAATTCATACTTCTAGATACTCCAGCGCGCATGCTCCCAGGGTCGCGTGACTTCCGCTGTCGTAACAATACCATTCTTAGCCTTGCGCTCTTGACGTTAAAGCTACAATAAGACATCGAAGCTTATAAGTAAATAAAATAAATACCCGTGTAAACTTTGTAAAATGAATAAATATTTCTATTTTATTTAGATATTGTTACGTCTCCGTTTGTTAATTGATTTTCCCGTAACTTCGTTTCAACGAAACTTTAACGACACAAGTCTTTACTTAATAAAACTGGTTTATTCTTTCCGAATATAACTCTGCGATACACTTAATCTCAATACTCGCGCTAAAACAACACTGTAACGAACGAACGTTAACTTCAACAATACCCTGTGACTGCAGTTCAATTACTCACTATCTATCTACTCACACATTACATTTCCTCCACCGCGTCACGTTTTCCCCTCTTATATATATACCAGCCTACCCTACTAGTAAATACTAGAGCATTCGCCAAAGTACATGATAATTCTAGAAACGTTGCGTCACGGTGATCATGTGACTCGCTGACGCAACAATATTAATGTTTTTCTTTCTTTCTTTGCTGTCCATGTTTGATATATTTTCTATATATATTTTCATGAATATGCGTTTTTTAGGAATCTTGTGATTATCTGAACACCATATTACTATGAACTCTATACAGACTGTAGTCATAAGTCATGTGTCATTGCTATACTGCAGTTAAAAATGATATTACCTTTGATGTAAAACTTTTCGTTATTTAATTTAATTTATTACTGTAGTTTTTCTATAAGAAACTGCAATTGAGAACCTGACATTGAAAAAAACTACTTTATGATGGAAATATTATAATTACCTAGATTATCTACTATAGATTTGCTCAGCATATCGCATATGGAACCATTACAATTACATAATGAAACTGAAATATCTCTGCGATGTTGTCAATCAAATCACAAAAAAATTAAACTTATTCTCAAACTGAACTCTCCGGCCAGCGGGTCAGCGGTAAATTTACATACTTAGAATACAAAATTCGAAATTCAATTCCTTTTTATTTTGAAACACAAATATTTTATTTTGTAGCTACGCGCTAAAACAAGTTAAACTGAAATTGGGCGTCAAAGTGCACATGATAATTTACAAGTAACCGATAAAAATCTTCCATTTTGTGCATGTTTAGCTTCTCAAAAAATATTCATTTCTGTATGGATGGCGGTGGTGTCTTACCTTTTGAACACGTATATGAGAAGAGAGGAGAATGGGTACGGCCTTGGTGTTTTATTTTATAGTAAATTTGGATAAGTTATTTCAAATTTTTGGTTTTGATCACAATTATAATGATATATATATATATATTATTAGTTGAAGACTTATTGAATTTTATGAAAAATAAAATTTTTAACTTGTTAAATATTAATTTTTCCATGGTTATTCGCTAAGCCTAATTAACTATTTAAGTCGTATATATCAACTACTTAAGAGATCGAAAACGCAAATCGCTAGTTAGGCCTCACTTTGAGTTTGTGTATTGCGTACAGTTTTTATTTCATCCGAGAAGGGATATATATATCATATAGAGTTACTGGAAAGGACTTACAGGAGGTCATCTAGGAATTGAAGTATTATACTACAAGGATATGTTAAGTTAAGCCTTAAGGTCTGTCGCTGCGTCAATGATATTGGTAACATATTTTCGATCGATAGGATTAACTCATCCTTATATTTATAATGTTATATTTTTCAGGAAATACCAATTCCTTTAGTTTAAACTTATAAAATGCTAACCTCTACTAATGATAATGATAAATCACTCCACAACGAAACTGTCAAAAGTTAATCACCCTTATGAAAAAGGTCTGCTCTAATTAGATTTAGAACCTTTTTTTTTCAAAATTTTAAATGTGTTCTGTTGTCCTCAGAATTCAGCACAAAAATTTGATGAAAAAAGTATGATCTTTACTCTAATGGTCCTTCAGATATTTTTTTAAGATTAAATAAGTTAGAATAGCTTATCTCCATAAGATAACCCTTCTATCCCAGTTATCACTCTAGTATCTCACTTGTACTTGCTCATTCCTATAAGGTAGAGATAAAATATTTTGTTATGGCAACAGGATATTAAATACAGTAATTTATGTGGTATATTAATGCATAACGTGTTAATGATTCTAATGTTATACTATTCATTTTTGCTTGAAATGTATTTGTCACTATTTTAGTTTTAAACAAAACTTGGATGAAAAAATAAACTAGTATGCGTTTCAGACAAAAGTTTATACATTTTATTACAAACCTGTCAAAATATACTTGCTCAGTCTTTTATCTTTATTTTCCACATTTTTTTCTGTTTACCATTTTTATTCTACATAAATGACACTTATATGGTTGTTGATTTGGTTCATTTGAAACTTTGCTTGTTTTGTTTTTCATACAATAGTAGATGTCACATTACCTAATTTAAAATGTCAGTTACAATTGATTTTAGTGGATTATTGTAGCAAACCAAGGTGAATATTAAATGTGTACAAGTTTGTACTGTAGTTTTAAAAATGTAGATATTTCTGTTATGTGGATGTTGGCATATACTTTTCAACTAATGTAGAACTTAACAACTTCACATAATCTTGTAAACACTGTGGGATGTCTACACTAGGGGTAGGGTCATATATCACATCTAAAGGAGCAAGACTTCCTGCCAGAAATGAACATGTTTGGTGACAACAAATTGATCTCTTCTCACTTGCTCTGTAGTGATCATGAAGTATGGCAAGTGCTCATACAACATGGTTGAAGAGTACTGACATGTTAACCAAAGGATAACATTCAACTAACTGAAAAGTATTGAATAGCCACAAGTATATACTGATAACCTCATTCTGTATATGGGAGTGGACCAGCAATATACCAGGCTATTCTCTGTAAAACAAAACCAAATCTCTGCTGCAGTTTATCTTGTTTTAATTATTATTTTTTTATTGTTTTGTTACTTTTGTTCCAGAACTACACCTGGGTGGGGGCATCATCGGTATATATATATATAAACCATTGGAGAACTGAAATAATCCTACTTCTTAACTGGATACCATTGCAGTCATGGGATGTATGAGTGGTTGGATATCCCTTGGTATGGTTCTTACTCAGAAAGATATATTTACCTGGGTAGGACAGCCTGTTGAAGTACAGCTACTGCAACTATTGCTGCAGACTTCGTCCTTTCATGTGACTAATTCTTACCCTGTCACAACAGAAAAATCTGTTAGGATAAGAATACTGCTTACACCCTGGTAGTGTCTTGTTGTTTCTTCAGGAAATTTCATGAACTTGTCTACCAAGATGTCTTTTTGATCTTTGGAGGCCATTGTTAGGTATGCCTTCCCATGCAAACAATGCAGATCATATGTATAAGCAACCACAACCTTGATGGTGCCCTTTCAGAACCTTGAACTCGGGCTGATGAATTACTCAATTTTCCAATAGGTCATCCTGTTTGCACAATTTGACAACAACTGTCTCATAACCATAAAGTTGCACCTTAATAAAGTGCTGGACTGTCCAAATCTAAGATCAAGCATTAGGTGTCTTGTTGTGGAGACCAGCTATTCAAGGAAGTTACCTGCCTGTAATGCTTTAGGAAAAGGTCCAGGTCTTCTTTTACTGTATCCTTGAAAGTTAGCTTTGTTTTGCTGACAAAGGATCATGATTGTGACCTGTGTATATTTGTCCAACACCTGCTTTGAAACCTGGGTAGCAGAATGGTGAGTTGCTCTTGGCATCTCATCCATCATTCCTGCTTGACCCCAGGTCTTTTCATGTAAATATTTTTTTCATTTCTCAAAGTAGGTTTTTGTTTTTGATTATTTTAATTCCATATTTTAATCACAATTTTGAAATTTTATCTTTCATTGAAAGTACAGAATACAGTATCTTTATTAAGGGAGGGTGTAAATTTGAATATTCTTGTACATAAATGTAAATTGTGTTTTTTTTTATTCATTCCATCACTTAAGAATGGATCTTTACATTTATTTACACTTTTATATCTTCTCCCTCTTTCATAGACATTTTTATTTTATCTTTTAAATATAAAATTTACTAAAATAAATTGCATAATTTAGAATGAAAACAATGTCAAGGAATTTATCATCGTAGCACCATCCCATTCCTGGCACTTTACTCTTTCACTACCATGTTCATAGGGAATTCTCCCATTAACAGGATTATTTTTACATACACAAGAAATGCATGTAGTGGTGTATAATTACATATGCTTTACTTATTGCTTGTCATTTCATCATGAAATTTTTCAGATATAATTATGTGAAATATTTCACTAAACATGATGTTTTGAGATTGAAAATGTTGTATCTAATCCTACATACATTATGATAAAATATGTTTGTGTAATTTACTTAATGAGTTATTTACAGAAAATGTTGCTGGTACAGAAGAAATAAAAAATGAACAAAGTTACAAATAAGTCCAACTTATAGCATTTTTCTGTCTAGTTGGAGTATTTGGTATCGGTTGTTTATACATTTACCACTAATAGAAAATACCAACAAAACTACATGTTTTTCAATACATAACAAATAACAGTTTTGTCTAAAGTTGTACAGTCTCTTCTCCTTATTTCAATATCAAATAAGCTACAGGAAGTTGTTTTTGCAATATACTGTATTTTTGTCATACACCACTAATTCCACTTTTGACCATTTTTCTGGTAAACTTAATTTACTTTACTGATAAATGTATTTTTCAATTCTGTAAAAGTAGGAATTTCACTTCAGCACCCATAATTATGTTTTTTATATATATATTTTTTTTCAAAGTTTCATTTGCAGTGTTTTTCAAAATGAAGGTAATGTGCCAGCACATAGTTACCAGTTGAAGAGTGATTTGAGCAAACTGGTGTTTTTGTAGTTTTCCAATTTTGTATCCATTCTTCCAGTATTAGAAAGCCATTTGTTTTTCATTGACTCCATTGTCTATTTAACTTGATGTTTTACAACCTGTGACAATCAATGAAATGGCATTTTGTGATCTTTACCCAACAAATTATTATCTAACTTGCTGTTGGCTAAACTGGTAACATTTTAGAATAGTTTTAATTTCCATTACACAGTGCTCTCCTCAAGGTGTTTGTCTACCAAAATAATGGATGAAACTTTTGAGAAGAGATTGCAGAAAATATAATAATGATTACGAAGGAACTGCCAAAATAAGGAAGAAAGTTTCATTTTTGTTATCTTGATGTTCTAAGACTCTCAGTAAATGCAACAATTTTTTTTTTTTTTCCAGGAAAAAGAATAGCAATATTTTTATATGAAATTGTTGTGTGAGAAAGTCTGAAAATGTTTAACACTATAAACATGTATATTCATTTGTCCTAGTAGATTGTAGTAGATATTTTTATTCATTCGCAGGGAAGCCAAGTGGTTTGCGTACAGCAAGGAAACATGTTACCCATCGTCGTGATCAACGCTGGCATGACAAAGATTACAAGAAAGCTCATCTTGGAACAAGATGGAAAGCTAATCCATTTGGGGGAGCTTCTCATGCTAAAGGGATAGTGCTGGAAAAAGTGTTAGTAATAGTTGAATAATTTTCGATTATACGCAAGGTAGTTTTAATAAAGAAATCTGACAGTTTATGCAATGATTACGTCAATTAATGTCAAGAAAATAATCAACTAATCAAATTTATAGTTTCTGTCTATTTACTGTTTTCAATTATTTCAACTATCCATATAATCAAATTATCACCATTGTTTTTGGTTAAACACAAAACTACACTATAATTTGAGGGTCTCAGTTCAGTTCCCATTTCTACTAAACTTGCTCACCCCGTCTTTGTTACTGCAAAGCTACTAAGACTGTGTGCGCTGTCACTAATTTTGAACTGCTTATTAGAGGGAATGCAGCAGCTATTGCCAACTCTCTAGCTACTTAAGTGGTATATAGTGTAAATTTACTGTTATCTTTTTTTACATAATGTTATGCTTCTAAGTTGTAATTGCATAAATGTATTCCTTAATGTTGTGAAAGCAAGCTTAAATCTAGGGGAGAGGTATTGGGGGGTGACTCCCACCAATTTTTTAATAATTGTAGTATCTAATGTTGTGGTAGCAGGCTTAAATCTGGACCCCCTCTAGTTTTTTTAGGAATTAATAACTATTCTTTAATGTCGTATAAGCAGATGCTGATCTAAGGGAAGATTCTAGCGAGGGTTGATTCCTCTTAACCCATTTTTATTTTCCAGATGTTAATATGTTATTTAATGTTGTTTAAGCAGGCACAGATCTAGGGGTGGTCTAGGTAGTCTGTACCTGCTCCATTTGTTTCAGAAATTAATAACTTTATTCCTTAATGTTGTATATAGGGGTGTGGATATAAAGGAGGGGGTCCAGGGTAGACAAATCCCCTCCACCCATTTGTTTCAGAAATTACTAACTCTTAACTAATATATTATTAAACATAGATCTGGGGGGTCAAACCACCTCCATCTTTTTTTCAGAAATTAAAAAAAAAGACAGCCAGATGTTCTTACACTACCATAAAGTATCAAAAAAAAAGAAACATTAAACGTTAGTGTTTTTATATGATTGGTCTATTACCATAAAAACATTGAGTTTTTTTTTAAATCAACACAGCTAGAGTCCACAGCAAATCAGTAAAGGCCTCAGCCAATAACATTATTTGTAAGTTAATACAACAATATGAATGACAGTTAAACTTTGCAGTGTAACTGTTGGTGTCTTATCTTTTTTTTTTCTAGACATGTTAACATTGTTAAGATTTTATAGATTTGTTTTTATCAAAATTAATATTCTTTGGGATACATCTAGCTCTTATAGACCGGTTACAGAATTGATTTTTCATTACGTAGAAGTGAGAATTCTCATGATAAAGATATTTTTCATATTGTTAATATCTAAAGTGAAACTGCAAGTGGTATGATTGTACAAGTACAAACTTGTTAAACAAATTTTGAAAATGAGCATTCTGCTTACCATTACTCTGATTTTTTTATGAATATGATTACAAATAACTATAACTATATAATTTTAATTATAAAAATTAAAATATTTGTTTTTAACTTTGTGTTTCATATCAATCACATAAGAAGAAATAAAGAACTAAGCTTTCAAATCACTGGATTATAACCTGACTGAACTAACTTTGACTTATTTAGATTACTTTGGAGCTGTGTGGTCAACATTGATTAATATTATATTATCGTAGTGGAAGTCTCTTATATCACATAAAAAATACTGAAAATTTGATTACGGTGTTTCACAGTTAACTTTGATTACAGTGTTAAGTGGTATCATATATTCATTATATGAATTAAGCATTACTACAGCTAGTGTGGACAAGTTAAACATTGTTGTCACTTGTTAATACTATATTACCTGAGTAGACTTTGTAATTTAATATTATTCATTCCCTAATGGTTTTCAAACTTTATAAAATAAAACAATGTTATCCTAATTTGTATGTTGTTTGACTTTGGGCTACTTGTCTCCAAATAACTTAACTCTTAAATTATTGTGCTGAAGTCTGAAGCTTGACACAAAGTTTAAATGTGGAAAATTTTTAAAGATAAAATTTTGAATATTCAAGATAAACATATTCCTTACAGAAAGTAAAAGGTTGCTGCAAGTAAAAAAAACAGGTTGGTTCACAAAAGGTATAAAGGATAAAATGAAAGAAAATCATCAAAAATTTAAGAAATTTAAATTGAATGGTATGACAGGAGATTTAGAAGATTATAAAAGATCAAGAAAGTTGGTCAAACAGGAAATTAGGAAGGACAAAAAGAATGCATGAAAAAAGGTTTACTGAAAATATAAAAATTAACAGTAAGGATTTCTTTAAATAAATTAAGGGTAAACAAAATGTTAGGATGGGGTATGACATTTGAGGGATGATAAATGAATGCTCATATCTGATGATTATGAGATGGCTGGGTTATTAAATTCAACTTTTTTCTTTAGTTTTTACTAATGAAGATTTAAACAGTATTCCTCATCTTGAACAGTTGATAGATGGAAACAAGATGATCACATTAATTTTGAAGTTGTTAAGAAAAAAATTGGGAAGTTTAAAGAATGATAGGGCTTCTGGGCCATATAATATTCCTCCAAGGGTTTTGAAGGAGGTTAAGGATTTGGTATGTGAGCAACTTGCTACTATTCTTTGTAAGTCCTTAAATAGTAGTCAGGTGCCAGAGGATTGGAAGTTGGTTCATGTTACTCCTTGTTTCAAGGGATGTGATAAAAATTGTCCCAGTAATTATAGGCTCATATAGTCTTACATTGGTTGTGGGAAAAGTTTTGGAAAGTCTAATAACAAATGCTTTGCAAATTCATTTAATAAAGTTTAGAAATTTATTGGATAGTCAACATGGTTTCACTAAGGGAAAATCTTGCCTTATAAATCTTTTGACATTCTATGAAAAGGTTTCTGCTTATGTAGAAGAGGTTAAGGATGTAGATTTGGTGTATCTGGATTTTCAAAAAGCATTTGACAAGGTGCCACATAGAAGGCTTGTAAAAAATATAAGTTAGCTAATTGGATAGTAGAGTGGCTGGATGGAAGAAAGCAGAGGGTTGTTATAAAATGGAGTTCAGTCAAACTGGATTAATGTCCAAAGTGTTATATCTCAGGGCTTAGTTTTAGGACTTTTGCTCTTTTTGATTTATGGCAATGGCATAGATGAAAGAATGGTCAATAAATTACTTACATTTGCTGATAATGTTAAGTTTTTGGGTGTTGCTAGCTTTGAGGAGGATGCTGTTATTTTACAAAAGGTTTCAGATCATTTAGTGAGTTGGGCAAATAAATGACAGATGGGTTTTAATTATAATAAATGCAAGATAATGCATGTGGGTTATCATAATTTGAATTATGAGCATAATTTGGATGGGAATAAACGTAACAGCATTATATAAGAATGGTATCTTGATGTAGTGGTTGATCAGTCTCTTAAGCCATCCTAGCAGTGTGCTGTTGCTAGTAGTAGTGCAAATATGATTTTAGGTTGTATCTACAAAAATATTGAATACAATTGTATCTAAAGAGGTTATTTCATTGTATAGGTCACTGGTTAGGCCACATTTGGAGTATTGTTTTCAGTCTTGGACTCCTTACTTTAGGAAGGACATTGAATTGATGGAAAAGGTTCAGAGGATGGCTACTAAAATGGTGCCTGGGATGGAGAGGTTGTCATATGAGGAGAAGTTAAGATCTCTGAAATTGTTTTCTCTTGAAAAAAAAGAACTAGATGGGATTTGAGGTGTTTAAGATTGTTATGGAATAGATAGTGTTGATGCATCACCTGGTGAGAATAATAGGACTAGAGGACACAAATATAAATTTTGGCAGGGTAGGAGTCATCTTCAGCTAATACAGTTTTTATTTTCTAACAGGGTGGTTGGCCTATAGAACGGGTTGCCTTGAGATGTTGTGGAGGTTGTAAATTTAAGTGAGTTTAATAAGAGAAAGCTTGATAACTTTGTCATGATATAAAAAGATTGTTTGGTTTAAATACTGGTGATTAATTTATATTTGCGAGTGAATATTTTATTATTTTAAAGATTGGTTATAATAAAAATTAAAAACAGACGATTGTAGAAGGCTTTATTAATAACTAATTGGTGGCAAGAATATAGAAAGTGGCCAGATGACTATGTAATAGAGATATAAGATATGAGACAAGTGGGAAGCAGCACAGAGACAGTATTAGACAGATAAAAGCAAAGAGAATACAGTGAAGTGAAGTAATGTAAAAGTGATAGGCCTAATGTTTAGTATGTTAGAGTGACACTAACAGTATAAAAAAAGATAAGAAGGATAATTTTATTTCGTCAAAGCGTGGTTCTAAAGTAATTGAAACAGCCTGGGTACACTTTCACAAAAGAAACTGAGGATCTTCAGAAGAAAGAAAACCAAACGAATTACGGTAACTTGTGCCACAACTGTAACTGAATCACACACAGAATACTAGTACGATAGTAACATAGAGAAAAGTAGTTCAACTTGTGAACTGAAATTCTAAAGTAATTGAACAGGCCTAAGTGGACTTTTGACAAGAAGAAGAGAACTATATATATAGTGTTTATGATATGCCTGTAATCTCTGTAGTGTGAAGACTTTGTTGTACATAGGTTTAACTTGTTCTGAATGAATATATATTATTTGGAAACAAGTAAAGTGTGTGCTGTTTATTCATCATTGAATTTATCGCTAACAAGTCACAGACACCTACTGTAGAAGAATCCTAAGCCCAACAACAACATAGTATATATATACATACTATCAAGAAATAAAAGAAAAGCCATTTATTTCAACAATTGGCAAAAATAATAACTTTGTGTGTATATGTATATATATATATATATATATATATATATATAT